GCAAGGCTACAATGGTGCCCAAGAAAGGGAGGGGAGATCAGCCATTCGTTCCGGTCAGTAAAGACAAGCAGAGGGAGGCGGAGCTGAAGTTTTGCGGCTTTAAGTGGGTTATGAAGGGGAAGACGATGCCGAATTCGAATGGCAATTTCCTCATGGAGTGCAAGCTGTGCGGTTAGGGTTTTCAGGGGAGCCAGACGAAAGCCGCACAGCACTTCACGATCAAGAACAATTGCCCCAAAATCTCCGTGGAGCAGATGGTGGAGATATGGAACAAGACAAAGTACGGGTTCGATCCAAGCCATGCACGGAAGATCATGGACTTTCTGAAGTCTCGTAGGTTGCGAGACAACAGATGTGGATCGGGGAGGGAGCCGGCGGGGAATGAGGAGTTTGAGGACAGCGAGGAGGAGAGGAGGGCGGTCGAGGGTGGAGATGATGATGGTGAGAGTGATGCAGAGGACATGGAGGTGCGGCGAGAGGTGGAGCGCGCCAGGGGAAAGTTGAGGAAGGAGAAGGCCGTTGACGAGGACAGCACCCCTGACGAGGACGCTGACACCGACGATGACGATGAGGGAGCAGACCTTGGGGCCTCTCTGGATGGGGGGTTGATGGGCGATGGTCGTCGTGGCCAAGAGGGGGCAGCTAGGGCGATGAAGGAGGTTGTGGGATCGAAGAAGAGAAAGAGGAAGGCGAAGATGACTACCACGGAGGCGATATCAGCACCTTCTGAGCCCAAAAAGAGCAGAGTTCTTCGACAGACGTCCATGCTGGAGACCTTCGATCCAGTGTGGCAACGAGAATTCTCGGACTCCGTCCTGCAGTGGTGGTACGTGAGCGGTATCCCATTCGAGGCGGCGAGGAGGCCGGAGTATCATAGGATGAGGAAGAAGTTGCTCGAGTGTCCGCCGTATGCACATCCGGCATTACCCACGCACCGTGTTATTTCGTGCAAAGGCATCCCTCAGCAGCAACGAGTTGTGGCGGACATGGTGGCGGCCATCCACAGGGACATTGAGGCGACGGGAGCGACCATCCTCACGGATGGTCGCAAGTCCATCACGAGCGACCAGATAGTCAACTTCCTTGCTGCTGGCCCCACGGGCGCGTACCTTTTCAGGACTGTGCAGCGACATGGTGCTGTTCAGGAGACAGCAGAGGCCGTAGCGGAGCGATGGAAGGACCTGTTCGACAAGTTTGGTGTCGACAAGGTGAACGCCATTTGTACTGATTCCGCGTCTGCGTATGTTGCTGCGTCCAAGCTCCTCGCCCAGGAGGAAGTCAAGTACAGCCGCATCACTTGGCTTCCGTAAGCGGTCCATGTCTGCAACTTGTTGTTGTCAAACATCGCGAAGGATGGGCGTCACGGGAGCCTCGGGAAGAGGGAGGACACCATCATCAGGGCTCGAGCTTTTGTGCGTTTCATCAGAGAGCACGGGGCGGCTCTGAGCCTTTATCGACGGTTCTCTGCCGCCCACCCCTCTTCTGCCTCCGCGGCGGCTGGTGGTTCGAGCTCTGCGCCACCCTCGTCTCAGCGGTGAGGCAGGGAGCTTGTGTACCCTGTGCAGACGAGATTTGCCACCCACTACTTGATGTTGGAGAGGCTGCTGGATCGTCGCAGAGCGTTGGAGGCGTTGATGATGAGCGACGATTGGCTGCGGACTGCATGGAGGAGGTCCATTTTTCTGCAGGCCAGATGGGTGCGTCATCAAGTGCGGTACGCACCATTCTGGGAGCACGTGGAGGACATCGTGGCGCTCATGATGCCTGTGATGCAGTTGCTATGGCGTTTGGACAGGGGGGGTCGCGTGATGACTCGCATGTGGTCGTGGGGTTTTCTTGTTTTATTTTATCATCGATGTTGTAGATGATTGCACTTTTTTGAGTATTTCTTCAGACACGGGCTCAGCAGGTGTAGTGCTCACAGTTTCATTTTTTGTTTCTCCTGTTATTTTTGTATCGATGTTTCTGACGATTCGACTGTTCTTTCGCACACCATTTGACTGAGTCCAGCGTACATGTGTCTTTTATTGTTGTGTGTGTACGGCGCAGCTGTTTCGCCATGTTCTTTCGTTTGCCTGTAATGTTACACTTTCAAAACTTGTGCAATGATTGTTTCTTGCAGACTTGCAGATGCTGGAGAATGACTCAATGGTTTTGAATAATTGTGTTTATACTTTCAGTCTTGTACTCGTTTCGTCGTGTGTGTAGTTCACCTCTGTTGCATTTGTCAGCCACCCCGACAAAACCCTCCCCAACCCCCAAACAGTGGCAAACACGACCTTGGCATGACCTTCC